AAGACTAACTATAGTGTCATGTTATACTTCGATATCCCCCAGACTAAGTCGTGCACATAAAAGGAAGATGAAAATCAAGTTTCTTAGAAATGTTTTATTTTTTTTCTCTTGGGGTTATCTTTCCTTCTGAAAACATTTCATTTTTTTTCTACTTTTGGGGCAAACATTTAAGATCTTTAGCTTTCAATAGAAATAGAATTTAAGAATTAATGAGTTACATGAACACTTGCTTTAATTATTCCATGAGACTCACTCAAAATCTTCAAAGTTATATGAATTTGGAGACAGGATGTCATATTCAGTGTTGGTCTACTATCTGTAATCTTTAAATCTAACATCAGAAGTGAATAATTATAAAATATTCATCCTTTCTGAAACTCTTTTAAAGATTATTTAGCTAAGTTGGTATGGTATTCTAAGAGCTCTCAAACAGAGTCCTGAAATACATATTCACAAACACCTTCAAAATAACCACTATTAGAAGTCTGATAAGGGACCAGGAGACTTTCCAGCTACTTCTTTCTCCTTTTAAGCACACGAGTTAAAGTTGAACTTATATTCCATCTACTGAGCTAGAGGGAAAGATCATCACTTTAAAGGCACTTAGGGAAGGTTCAGACACAACTATTGTGTAATTTGAACAAACAAATTTCCCCAGTATTTCACCTTCTTGTCTCATTTTTAACTACAGAGATGGTAGTATTAATACCAGATGGAGCAATGAGAACTCTACGGTGTCTAACCATGGATTCCTACTTGTGTAAAGAAGTTTAATTTAAAAACATTTTATTATTGTATAACTGTATAAACAGGTTTCATTATGACATAGCCATATATGCATATAATATACTCCTTTATTAACTCTTTTCTATCCTCATTTTTAATCCCCTTTTCCCTTCCCATATGGGTAATGTTTCCTCTTTAAGGAAATTTAAAAATCAGGAGTTGTGAAATCATATATTAATAAATGCTACACAGTTCTAATGATGTTGTTTCATTAAATGACAAATGTTTTCCGAAGACAAGACTTATCAAAAAGAAGTTTTGAAAAGAAAAATCATTGAGGTTAATGCTCAGCTGACAGCCTGTGGACAGATATAAAAGTTTCTAGTAAAATTCAGGACCCCAAGGGTCCCCCCAGCTCTTGAATTATTAAAAGTAAACATGTAGTTTTGCAGTTACGTTTTTAAAACAGTCCCTCAAAACTGGCTAGTTAAGGAACAGAAAAATTAAGAGAAATATATTGTGGAGGTGATTTGCATTTCAAATGTCCATGGAAATCTTTACCTTGGTTATCCAGCTATGAATGAATTGGTTTTCATAGTATACCGGGACCAAGGCTAATGTTTTATCTCCTTGGCTCTGCTTTCTTACAGTAAACATTGGGAAAAAAAGATTTTCATATAAGGAAAATATAGTATGTGTTACAGAAAATGTCGAATTTCTTTAATTTCGGTCGCTGAATTTGAAAAACCTACATATTTGATTTCTCTTCCAGAAGAAACTTCTGGCATCGGGCAGATTTCTTCCTTCTATCAAACAGTTACTTTAATCTGAGAAATTAATTTGGGTCCAACCTTGAATGCCTTCTCCTTCCGGTAAAAAGAAACACCGATTTTTAATGTATTTTTGCAAATAAATCTTTACAGTTTAATCACACACGACTCTATACAGGCACGGTCCCATGATTTATTATTGTTGAGCGAATTTCCCCCTCCCTCAGTAAGAGCTAAGCAATTTTTGCTCCGTGTGGATGTCGTAAACATAACTTCCTACGACGTAGATGTTTACTGATCATCTGTGACGATAACGGCAATTACTAAGGCAGTAACAACCTCCGGTCCCACCTTTATTGCTTTTGGGGAACAAGAAAATCCAATTATGCAAGCACGCAAAACAAACATTAAACAAAAAATTGGCGGCATGACAATCTACTCGCTCGGCATTCCTAAACGCCCGACAGCCTGCATCGATGCACTCTGTAGCTCGGCTGACGCTGCCTGGCGCACGAACCAGGAAGGCGCTGAGCTTAAACTGAAGCTAGTAGGGAGGACGCCGCTGGCACCGGGGTCTGAAGAAACGTTTCCAGGTCCGCACGTCCGGAGGTGCGAGCTCGAAAGTAGACCCAGGTGATGCGGGCATCCAGAGCCTGGGGGCGGCGCCGGCGAAGGAGACGCAGTATGGCCCACCTTTGCGCCCGGCGGCGTGGGGCCTGGCTTAGGCGAGGAGCCTGGCGGAGGGCTGGGCCGTGGTCCGCGCCTTGCGGAGAGGCTCCGTGCGCATGCGCCTCGGCACCTGGGAGGTTCCGAGCTGGCAGGCTGTGGGCTGGGGGCCGCGGGTGTGGGCTACAGCGGGTGGTCGGAGCAGGCCTGCAGCTGGGGCCACCGTGGGGACGTGGTGTGGAGAGTTAGCAGACTCCCCTCAAATCTCGTCAGTCCCTGGTCCCTGATCCGCGCTCCTGGGGGCTTCCCTGTTACCCCACTGAGGTAGCCTGCGGCATCCTTCCAGCTCCAGGTGGACGGAGCGAGAGGGAGGCTGGGGTCTGGTGTGCACTTTTAAAGTCCCCCCTCGCTCTCCTGCCTACCTGGGATCCAACTCCCTTTCTGACTCGCTGATCTTTCCCAGCTCTCACTTCTTGCTGACAGGAGAGATGGTACAGGGGCAAACAGACCTTCTTGGATTGAAATATACTCCCTTTAAACATTGTGTAAATTTCCTTGACTTCTGCACTTTAACCTTGAGACCAAGAGCATATAGCTACCCTAGAACCCTGACTACTTTTGTAAAGTTAGAATGTGCTTGTTTAGGCTAATATAAACATAATTCCTTTGTCAGGGTTGTATTTCTAAATGCTTATTGGAAACCCTTTAAAAAAACAAAAATTTCCAAATCTTCAGTAACTCGGTTTTGTCCCCACTAAGTAGTAGGCTGTTGAATAAATTCACACACTATGTGCTGGCACAGGAAAGTATTAGGGTTGCCATCTTTGAACTTAGATGTAAAAGGTCTAAGTAAAGGGGATAAGGCAGAGCTCAGGTTTTAAGGAGTGCAGCGGATGTGACAGGTACAACCTTGTGGGGAAACTAGGTATCCTCTGAGAGCCTTTCTAGTCTTAGAGTTTATGAATATTCACTTTCTTTGCAAAGGAGATTTCTTGCTAAGTGGTAGCACTTTTTTACTGTAAGTTCAGTAAGAGGGCTAAAAATGTCTGAAGCTGAAAAAGATGGAGGCAATTGGCACTTGTCTGTTAATTGGCCTTGCTGACCCAGTCTCTGCATATTCAGCATGTAGAGTTGTGTTCTGAATTGGAAAAGTTGTTATAGGGTTATTATACTGCATTTATAGACATATTTTATGGTTGCATTTTCAGACTGTCGGAGGG